TTTTAATTTAAAAATAATACGTTGCAAAAAAGACGATAATGGTATTCAGAAATAAAACAATTTTACTAAGGAAAAAGTTAATAAGTTTAAGGTCAAAAATAACTAGTTGAAGTTAAAAATTAAATACATTTTAAATTGACTAAGCTAAGTGAAAAGTTATTAACTTTTTAACTTTTCCAAAATTTAACTAATTATCACCCAACCCTGTTATATTAAATCAAAAAGATATCAGTCAAATTTTTTTGACGCATCTCGTAATAATATAATTAAAAGAAAATTAAGAAAATAAGACTATTTACGCTACTCTTAGACTTTCCGAAGACTACGAACGAGGTCTTCTATATATTTTTTTTTTTTCGAGGAGGCAGAGAAGTCGCTCTACATATAGAAAACTCGTCGCGACCAATGCGGGAAAGGCATTACGAGGCGTAATTTTTTTTTGTCGCGCCAACATATATCGGGGATCCATTAAGAACTCATCGTAACGGTTGCGGATACCTTCTCCTAGAAGAAGAAGAAGAAGAAGAAGAAGAGTCATCATCCGCGCGGCCGATCATGTCGACGTCCCACTGGGAGAGGCTCCCGAGACGAAACGAGAAGCAGATCATCAGAGCCGGGTCCCTCTTAGCAAAGAAGAAGAAGAAGACGACGATGACGACGACGAGGACGACGAAAGCAAAGGAAGAGAGCAAGGCACAGGATAAGAGAGAGCGAGCTAGCTCACCTTGGCGCCCATGGTATGCGCCCATTGGCGTCCCTCGCAAAGGCGTAGCTCTCCTTCTCGCCGATAATACATATATTTTGATAAGGAGTCCCCTCTTGTGTGAAGAGACTCTCCTCTTCGTGAGAAGCGGTGAGAGAGATGGAGAGAAAATACTCGGCGCGAGACAGGTCTTTATAGCCGCTCGGTTTTGTCCTCGCCTTGTATCGCGAGCATGAATATTTTGTGCACGCCGCAAAACAATGCAGCGTGCGTAATCCTGTTAGAGCTGTGTGTTGATGTTATTTTGTCCCGATCGGATGTGTACGTTCTCTTTTCTCGATATGCCTTTTACGTAAGAAGCGTATCGAGTTGGTTTACGTTAGAGGATGCTGGAGAGGATGCATGATGTAAATATTTTTTTATATGCATGACTATGCATTTGAATCAATTCTCTCTCTCTTTATATTTCTTTCCTGTCTTTTAGAATCGCATAATTTTGCCGGTAAAAAAATGTACCAGCTATTTGCGTTATTATTAGCGGTGAAAATTCATTCGCTCGAGACATGAATATGGAAAACGGAATGCTTGTTTGGTATGCTGACACATTGCTGAATCGCATATCTCGGCCGGCTCAATGGACTACGTAACATGCCGAATGTTATGTATGCGCGAAGTTGCTGCATCGAAAGTGCTACGATAATCATGAAAAGCAATCTGAAACGGAGAGGAAACAGATTTTTGTAGTATTATTAAAATTAAAGTGCATATAAATTACAAAAACTTATGAGGCCCTTCGCGTAATTAGAGAAAATATTATGAATATACGAGTATATTAAATATTAGGAATAAGAATTATTTGAATAATAATAAAATTGATAAGACTGATATAAAACTAGTAATTTTATACTTGAATTGTATTTGTATATTAGAGTTTTCTCGATTTTATTTTCAAATAATTCCTAATATATTTTTCCTAAATAAATCGAAAGATTAATATCTTAATTTTTTCACCGCGTGATATTTAATTAAATAAATTGCGCATATATTTTCTTAATTGAAGTATAATAAGAAATTAATATACAATCAATTTAATCATTTTTTTGACTCGTATAAATTTGCAGTATATCAGGAAACTGTCTAATTCGTATTAATTTACAGTATATCAGGAAACTGTCTGATTCGTATTAATTTGCAGTATATCAGGAAACTGTCTGATTCGTATTAATTTGCAGTATATCAGGAAAAAATTAATCTTCTTTTCATTATATTTACTTCTAGTATTTATTTTTTATATTATATATCATCTTATCGTACGTCAGATAACACGATCTTACAATTATTATATTTATTTTATCACCCTCCAAATGATTATTCTCGTATTGTTGTTAATCCTCCTTCCAGGAATGCAAACGAAGAAGCGATAAAGTGAAATAAAATCAAAACAGGAAAGAGGAGAATCGCGTTTTTATAATAATTTCACAAAAATATCATATTTCCATTGTTTCACTTGATCTTGTGCGTGTACAGAGTGTAATACTTTACGATTCTAATTAGTCTGAAAAATTTTTATCCAGCGCGACACTAAAAGAGAAAAATGCAAAATTATATTAACACTAAGTATCAAATTACGCGATAAATGGTGGAAACGTTATACATGTTTATTATATTTATCGCGTAATTTTACGCTTATTATTTATGTAATTGCACGTACTTTTTTTTACGGTGCAAGCCGAGTTGTCGCGTCGCGGTATATCGCGACGATGCGAAAGTATGCGGCGTCGTTTTACGGTAGGCATATCGATGCCCCGAAGGCGCGCATCTGCATCGTGAAAACGAGCGGTCGTCGACGCGCGAGCGAGTGTTCGCGGCCTTAAATTAAATTTACTCTCCCGCCGGAATTTATCCGCGGCGAGAAATATTACGCGAGACGAGTCGTAAATTTTCAGTGTGCCTTCTGTTTTTTTTTTTTTTTTTTTTTTCCCCCAACGAGAATCGCCTCCGCAAGAACGCCTTCGGCATTGCCGATTTGTGCATACCGGGCACGATTAGTCGCCTCATTGTTGCGTTACGCAATATATACGACGACCGGAGGGAGAAAAAGAGAGAAATCGCGCCGACTCTAATCATGCATATATATATATGCATATTTTCTGCGTGTGTATGCAAAATGCGCGCACACGGACACCGGTAAATAAATAAATGCGTAGGTGCGTGAACGCGCGGCCCCGTGAGGAATGTCGCGTGTCTGGGGAAAAAATCCGGGACATCCTTGCATAACGTTGCGAGAAAAGAAGCTCGTTTCGCTTACGATAGCGCGATAAAAAAAAGTATTCGCGTCTTTACATTCTTTAATTTTTTTTTATGAACTTCCATCTACATATATCTTATAAATCGGAAGAAAAAGAAGTGTCAAATCAACACTTATATACTCATATCTGCAACAACATCTATATCTTCTTGTAAGAATTTGCTAAATCTTAAATTTCGACGATATTAATTTCAACGATGTTTTTCTTGGTTGAACTAGAAAATTTGCTTGAATGAAAACATTTTATAGTTTATAATTTAATTAAGAAAATATTAATCTTATTGTTTAAAAATAATTCTCTTGAATAAAAAATGTTGGATAGAAAATGACATATTTTTATATATAGAATAATATATTTTTTATACTCTTCAGATGATAATTACAATATTAAAATAAGACTATAATATTGTTGAAATTTAAAATTTAGCAGATTCTTATAAGATTATAGATATTGTTATGTATACGAGTGTTGATTTGACACTTCTGTTTTTCTGATGTATAAGATACGTATAAATGAATTTTCGTAAAAAAATAAAGAATTAAAAAATGCAAAGACGCGAATACTTTTTTTAGACATTATTACGTATAAACGAGTATGTAAGTGTCAATTTGACACTTGTTTTTTCTGTGACACATTATACGATCCATCATACGTTTCTGACTCATATAGCCAATCTGAAAAAATAAAAAAAGAATATTTCTGATGATGAAACAGAGTATTTTCTCCCGTATACGTGGACCGATTGTTCGGATATGATAAACATAACATATCACACGTGGCTGTCACGGCCGTGCGCGGCCGTCCGAAACCGGTGTACATAAAGCGTATGTGTGCCTGAATACGGTCAGGTCGTGCGGATAGATATCGGATACACGTAGCGGGACACGGGCGGTTTCGAAGAATGCGTTTCCTTCCTGTCGATACTGTGCGATGCAGGTATACATCATACACCGTAAATGGACGCGCGCTCGCGCGTGATCGGAGATGCGCGATCATCCGTACATTTTATATAAGTAACTCCCAACCCTCTCTTTCTCTCTCCTCTCTCTACACCTTGCTAAAATGAGTCATGTCGCGATTACGATTCCATTCATGTCTCGCAACAAAGTGAGAATATGGTGCGCAACTACGACGAGGAAAAAAAACTTCGCGACGAGACACGCGGGAGCGAAAGCTCACGCAACATATATGCATATGTATGTGCTTTACTTATTACGAAATAGATGCAATTTGTATATTATACATATTAGAGTACTTTTAAAAAACCATATATATGTATATCCCTATTTTTAATATTTTTTGTAATGATTTAATATATATTCATAGTCATTAAAGTCTTCTTTGGAGATTCCTGGACGAATGTCTACCAGGAATAATTACCTGATCTAGTATCTGAACCGCTAATTGATTATTGAACCGAGTACTTTTAAAAAGTACAAAGAAATATATATATATATTATATCTCTATTTTTAATATTTTTTGAAAATGCTTGAATATGTATTTAAAGTCATTAAATAAGGCTTGTCTGGAGATGATTCCTGAATGAATGTTTACCAGGAACAATCACTTGATCTATCTGAACTGCCAATTGATAACAAAATCGAGTACTTTTAAAAAATTACATAGAAAAAAAACATACATATATATTCCTATTTTTAATAATTTTTTAAATTCTTTAATATGTATTCAAAGTCATGATTTAATGTATATATTCATAGTCATTAAAGTCTTCTTTGGAGATTCCTGGACGAATGTCTACCAGGAATAATTACCTGATCTAGTATCTGAACCGCTAATTGATCATTGAACCGAGTACTTTTAAAAAATACAAGAAAAATATATATATTTATAACCCTATTTTTAATATTTTTTAAAAATGCTTGAATACGTATTCAAAATCATTAAAGCCTTTTCTAGAGATGATTTCTGAATAATCACTTGATCTTGTCTTTGAACCGACAATCGCTAACGGAACCGATTACCGCAGGTAAACACCTGGTGCTGGTGACGGATCCCGAGATCGTCGAGGATGCGTACGCCTTCGACAATCCTTGCTTCAAGGACGCCACACCTACGACGGTCGGCCGCGTCACGGAGAGACCGTCTTCGGCCATACTCGGGGACACACCCGCGAAAGATTCCACGCGATGGTCCACGCCCTGGACATCCCTGGGCCTCGGATCGGCTATTCGCAGCGACAAACGTCGAACTCTCGACGATTCCTGCGTTGGGGTAAGTTCTATTTTACGTTTTTTTAATAACCACTTTTTCGCAGCTATAGTTAATCGACATTAACGATGAAATACTTTATTTTGTTTCAAGAAATAAAAAGATGTCATTTGTTGTCTGACGCGATGACGTTTAAGATATCAAAAGAGGACTAATTTTATTTCTGAAAATGTGTTTATTCACGAAATATTAAAAATTTCGAAATTTTATTTTATTCGTCAAAAATAAGCGCAATTTAATTAATTAAATTTAGATTTATAAGTAAATAAAAATAATAGCTCAGTAACGTTTAGATATTTTTTGTATGTTAAAACAAAATATTCTTGGCTATATATTTTGTGATTTTATATTGTATATATAAATATATTGCGTAACTAAATGACATCTTATGCGGTTACTTTTAATTAGAAATTATCGGCCCGAACGGCTAAGCTATTATGCCAGATGGACAATAAATTCCGCGGTTGAATCTAAAGAAGTGTCAAACACGGTAGTAATGTCGTCGTTTAGTTACGCGATTCAGCGTCACGATAATTGCAGGATAAAATAGCTACAGGCGATAACGTAACACTTATAATTCCCCATGATCTAATCTGATTTCAAAATATTCTTCTTCACGAGGAAAAAATTAAGTTAAAAATAGTTTCTCAAGGATTACATTGAAATATTTTTTGCGACAAAATTTATGTAACTTCCGCGTCCATTAAAATATATGAATTTTTGAGAATAAATTAAAAAATGCAAGAAAAAAAATCATTTTCATATATACATACACCTTATATTTGTATAAGAATTAAAGATGCAGGAACCTACAAAGAAATTAATCTTTCAGTCATGATTTATATAAAAACCGGATATTACGTGTATTACGATCCAGCCGGATGTCATAATATCGTCAATGGTATGATTCTTCGTTCACCAGAAGATGACGTATCTCTTTCGTTTATTCGTCGCTCGCGCAGCACAATATTAAATTTGTCATCGGCGAGAATCGCCCAGTCATTGATGATCGTCGCGTCGAGAATCGCATACTCGAGATTCGACGACTTTCGATTTGTGTGTGAGCGATCAGCTGATCTTTTCATCGCACCTGTGTAACAATCGACGCGTGTTCTTGCAGCCCAAGGCCACCAGGGTCAGCGTGGTCGGTCTTCGGAGTCGCGACTTCACCGGCCTGGGCTTCAACGTGTGCGGCAACATGAGGGAAGGCATCTTCGTCAAGGATCTGCTGCATCGTGGCCCTGCGTCCGAATCCGGACGGATACATCCTGGTCGGTATCTTTTTTTTTATCAGAGGATTAAACCGCGAAGTGTTCTCCACTTTTTCAATCTTCTTCCCAGCTCTTTTAAAAATCTTTTCTCTCTCTTTGATTGATCTTTTTTTATTATTTTTAATTCTTATGTCTATTGAAAGAAACGCTATCTAATCGCCGGTTTAATTGCCTAACAATTCGATTTTCACGCTCGACATTCAGTTATCGCTGTACGCTGATGACAATGAGAACTCTCGCTCTGTATCGAGATTGAAGAGTAACGCAATTTCTGCTCCCGTCATCCATGTGGGTGAAGAAATTATAACTCAATACCCTGGAGATTAACTCACGACGTGTCTCTCGATGAGTGTTTTCGCGGATCTGAGAATCACCCACATACCTACATTTCGCAGTGAAAGCACTGTTACCGCCACGTTTCAGCGTTTGATAATACGTGTCGTGAGATGATTGAGATAGAACATTACAATCATCATTGAGTGAATGCAATTGCCAGCATAAAAGTACGCGAGAATCATCGTATCAATGATCCCGTTTGACAGAGTCAGAAGTTCCAATTTTGAAGAAGTAAATTACATTGAAAAAAACGTATTTGTAATTGATAATATTTCATAATTTGCAGAATGAATTTTCTATCTTAATTTTTTTCATCAGAGATTTCTTCCAGAATCTGAAGTCTGAAAAACTAAAGTCGACCTTTCTAAAACGCTTTCAGTTGTTATCTCTTTAAATAAAAATGTGCGATAAAAATTATTTTAGAACATCATCTCTTTGAATATTTAGTAAAAAAATTTGTTATTTTATAGGTGATCGTATCTCCAGCGTGAAGATCAGCTTCCGCAACATGGTGTACGAGGACGCGCTGACGATTCTTAGCTACGCCTCGCCGTACGACGTGGAGCTGGAGGTGGAAAGCGGCGGTAATGGCTCGAAGCCGACGACGTTGCTGAAGAAGAGCGTGGGTCCGAGCCCGACGAGGATCTGCCATCCTCTCTACAGGAGTCAATCGATCCCAGAGCTGTCGCAGGCCCATAAAAACGTCGCGAAACGGCTCTTCATAGCCGACCCGAACGAGTCAGTCGGCTCGAATCACTCGACGATGAACTCGACCTTCAAGTCGTCCAAGTCAACGCCGGGCAGCGGACAGAGTCTCGAGAGACGACACGACGAGACGACGAAGAACAATCATCACAAGTTCGGCATCAAGGTGCTGCCGGCGCTGGACGGCACCGTGCACCGAATCGAAAATCAAAACGAGCACAACACGAACCTGGAGAGAAGGCACTCGCGCAAATTGGACGCGGAGAAGCTGTTGACTTCTTCGAACAGACAGTCCACGACGTCGTCGAGCGATGAACCGCTGAACGACGAGAGAAAGCTCTGCAACGAGCGTTTTCAACAACGCGTGGATCAACCTGACGGCGTCGTCTCGGCGAGAATCACCGTCGACGCGTTAGACAGCAAAGCCGGGAAGAAAAGTACAGATTCTGGAAGTGGCGGGATCAACATACCGTCGGAGGTCCCAACAGAGGTGCACAACGCGGCCATGGCGGCTCGCAGGAATCGGAAGAGCACTTCGGAGCCGCTGAAGATCAGTAGCTCGTCGCCGGACTCCGACAGCGCCAAGAGTCCGCAGAAGAATAAACGGAAGGCGCCGGCGCCACCGAAAAGCGGCGGCATCAACGAGATACAACCGCTCGCGAAGAAAGACGCCATTGATACCATCGACAGTATCGCTGATTATACAGAGTCATTGTGCGATTACCTGAACAAGACGCGCGAGAACGCGGACGCTCGGAGGCACCGTTTGGAGAACCAGTCAACGGTGAATAGACGCAACTCCGAATCGGATACCGACAACGAGATGCAGAACAGCTTCACGACGATTGAGCTGAATCCGGCAGACATCACCATTCATCGCACGCCTGTGCCAGAAGTGAATGACGACGATGAGGATGACATGTACAGAAAAGCGGCCAGTCTGGGCGATCTGTCCAAGTATGAGAACAGGACCGCGACGACTCTCGAGAGGGCGCAAAGTCTCGACATGAGCGCCGATACCAGCGCGAAGAAGCGCAAAGCGCCGCTGCCTCCTGAAGACATCAATGAATCCACGGAGGATCTTACCAAGCTCGATCAAATCGACTCCTTTGACCGACGAAAGTTGAAGAAGTCGAATGAATGGGGCACTCTGGAAGACGTAATCTGGAGCGAAGCCGCCGCCGAAGCGGACGAGAAGACGCGCGGGAAAGCAAATACAAGAAAGAAGAGCAATGGCACTCTCGAGCGTTCCAAGTCCGCGGTGGAGATCAAGCTGAAGGAGGAAGTCACCGCAGCGACGACAACAGACGACGATGTGTCCGAGAAGAAGAAACTCGACAACGATGCTCAAGATATCACCAGCATCGAGCTGTACAACTTGCCGTTGAGCAAGCAATTGACCCAGGAGTTTATTCACAACGAACGGATGTTCAATCCGGATGAGGACAATTCTCTGGCTAGGATCGTAAACGACGGTCGGGTGGTGAAGAGCCCGACTCCGAAGGAAGTGGATCTGGACTTTCAGCTGGCCGACGAGAAACGCTCTTCTGAAGAGAGCCAACATGAGAAGGAACTCTCTGGAAACGATCCGGAAAATTCCATGTCAGAAAAGTCAGAGGACTTTAGTCGCGCTTTACGCTACTTCGAGCTGAACGCGAGCGTCTCGCCAACGGAGCCGACGACGAAGGCGATCAGTCTGACGCGGCTAAACGAGCGGAGAGAAGAAAGAGCGCCTTTTAACGATATATCGCTCTATGCTGGTAAGCAGGCGGTTGTGGAAGAGCCTATCTCGAAGACGATCATAGACAGGGGTTGTCACGGTTGCGAGAATAGACATGGCCAGCACAGCGCCGACTGCGAACGCGAGAAGCACGTCGACAAGCCGCATCGCGTAACCGTGAGATCGTTTTCGGATGACAATAGGACAACGACGACGATGACGACGAGGGAGAACGTGGAGAAAGAAATAGAAAGAGTCTGCACGCCGACGCATCTGCGAATTCACGCGTCCAAATCAGAGCCGGGCAGGCACAACAAATCCCAGGATTCTAGGGAGGAGGTGCACACGGAGGGAAAGAACGGCGGTACCTTCTCCACGTTCCAAGTGCACCGGACAAAGTTCGAGCAACCGGGTGACAGATATTCGCCGATCAAGTCATCGACCGACTGCTCCTTCGTCGACACGCATTTTGCCAGACGTATTATTAACGTCTCCGCTCATGACGAGCATGACGACGAAGAAGAGGACGAGTACGAGTTCGGTTCAGGCGTGACTGCGCACAGCAAGAGTCCATCCTCGCCGAAGGAGGACCGTCACAACATCAGCAGCGTCAGCGTGTCGAGTGGCGAGAACAGCGAAGACAGCGGTCTGGTTCGCGAGTCGATGGATTACAATAATCCACATAATTCGGAGAATCGTCCACCTTTACCCGACACTCCCATGCCGCTGAACACTGCCCACAAGATGACCTACATCACGGAAATCAAGGTGTCGCCCAACAAGGAGGGCATTCGCGAGACCGACAGCGAAAACGAGGACGGAGTAACCACCAATGGCGAGTCGCGAAAATCCTTGACGCAGCACGAGATCAAGGTGACGTCGAACGGCAAACCCACGTCCGGTAAAAAACCGCCGGTACCGCCGAGACGATCGGACATCACGAGAAGCCCGAAGGAGGACAGGACGGACAAGCAGGTGGTTTACGTGGCAGAGTACAAGTCCGTGACAGGCAAGAAAGCCCAGATTCTGGATCCGCACCCATCAGAGGTCAAGCAATCGGAGGGTAAGAAGTTCGAGCACTGGATCTTCATGGCCGATAAGGAGCAGAATCGTTGGAACCCGGCTTCCAGTCAACCGCAGCCTGTCACGAACATCATGCTGTCGTCCAGGGACGACACGAATTAGAATAATCGTGTTTGTCGCATCTTCGTTAGAAATGCAAAGTGGAATTAAGCATAGATCGCTCATTAAGAGAGACATTTATTCGGAAAATGTTGGAAACGCCTTCTCTTCGTGTGTGATGTTTCTTTACGAAAACGAATAACATAATGATTATGAATTATAATTATTGATGAATGCATTTTTCGAATTCCCTGAAAACTAAAGATCTTAGATTTAATGTCCCCTTTAAGATAATCGATTTAATCGAAGATTTAAAATCTAGAGATTGAGTGTTGCGCTTAATAAATATTTCTTGAGGTAAATCATATTTTTGCACTCTTAATGTATATTGTTTCAGTCATTCAAATTCCATTTTTTTTCTTTTACTCCAAATTTTCGTCTCCAAGCTTCAAATTTGAGTACAATAGACGATTCGAGTGGACAGCGAGAAACGTATGTAAATCGAAAGGTGAGAAAATGATTAACTTTATGTCACGTATGTTGATGTATTTCTTGGAGTGATACGTGTTTCACAGATAAATATTTTCGTTGATTAGTGTATGTACAATTTTTCCTAATTCTCTATAATTTTTGAGATAATTTATTACAGTATCTTAGAGAATTTGCAAACACGGAATATATTAATAATATTAATGTGAGAATGTTTTGCGTAGCATCTAAAATATTCAAAATAAAGAAATGACTGCCGTATTTTATATTTCTATACATATTAAATCGATTACGTTTTTGTCACGATTTTAATAGAATTCTGAAATCAGAATAGTCTTCGAGGAAAATGAAAGCTTAGAAACTATATATGTGCCATAAAGAATAATTATGAATCTGAAGGGATGGACTTGAAATGCCTATATAAGTTAAATTAATCAGGCCAGTGCTTTTTAAGGGAGTGTACTTGAAAAAATGATAAAAATGTCAGAATCTTTTATTTAAAAAACCAGCATAATTGCTTAAATACTTTGAATATAATTTTTAATCATATTTATATCTAAATGTTTTGAAAAAATTTTAATCATACAAGAGTGCTGTAAAATCTTTCAAAATGCTTTCCTTTAAAATTATAAATCATTATATGTTTATTTCTGTTTAGAAATAAACTAATTGTAAGATATTTGTCCCCTCTTAAACGCAAGCGTTTTACTAGTACGTTTTATATAAAAAAATTTATCTTGTTTTTTTTTTACTGAACTTTTAAATTTTCCTTCTCATTTTAAATCAAAATAATTTAATATACACACACTTTATACATACATATACATTAGAATATTTTAGTAAATGCACATATGAGAAAATACGTAATTCTAATTTATCTGTAAGTAAAATTTTGTATTTTCACTTATAGTTTTTTTTCTTTTCTGTTATCTTGTTCGTACCTTTATCGCACATTTAATGTTAAATGTGATTATCATCTTTTTTCTATCTTTGGATTGAATATCGTATTATACGAACATCACACAAATGAGACGAGATAATCACATTTAATTTTAAAAATTGAGCGAAGATGTGACATTGTATTTTTAACTCTCATTTTTAACTTTTATGGACCCATGAAGAAAATGAGATAGAGAATATCATCTCATTATCTGCAATCTGATTATGTGACTCGTTTTTACTTATTGTTAGAGATACTTGATAAGATCGTTGTGTCTTATATATGTACGTCCATTATGAAATGCAAATAGTTTCGTTAATAAGATCTGTAATCAAATAATACGTCGTGTAATAATAATAATGATATATGTAGCATGTAAGTGAAATAATTTGTAAATCCGAGATTAGTGAACTTATTAATTTACTAACCATCTCCCGTAACTAAAGTCTACGTCTAATTATGCACGAATACTGTCCGCGCGTAGAGATACGCAAAGAACAAATGTAATTAATAAAAAATTTTTCGCATAATTACATTCTTCATTGTTTAAGTATACATGCTTAGTATTATTTTCTTGTAAAATTTTAATTTCAAACATGTGAAAATGAGCGGTTTTTTGTTCAAGTTTTGTATATTTCTTTTATATTGCATATTGTTTCTTTTTATTATTTGATTTATATGTCGAATGAAAGCATATATTGCAGCATTTTATAGAAAACATGAAATGTTATTGTCAACTGATGTAAATCAGTCGTTGAGTCTTTCTTTGTGTACGTTTCTTGTAATATAACTTATTTCAAGACTAACATGTTAGTAAAATATATTATTGTCTATAATTTTTGTTAGTGAAAAATGTATAAAGTTTTAACAAATAAAAAAATGTATATTTTTAGACATAAACACCCTATAATACTGTAAAATTTATATTTCTTTACGTTATATATTTTCGTGAAAAAATAACAATTAATTAAATTTCTTTTAATCTTAATCGATTTAAAATTTTAGGAATTTCCGGAGTCATCATTTCTGAAAATTTTATTTATTCCTATTTAATTATATTTTTACGTTTTTTTAATAAGCTTTTCGCTAGAATTTCAAATTCAAAAGCTATTCTTGAGAATATTAATGTCATATCTTACATGTATGTTATATTCTCCTTATCAAGTATAATTATATATAGGTATCAAAATTTAATTAAACTTCAGGATATTATAATATGTGCGCTCTCGTAAACTCGTCTGAGTTAATAGGAGAATATATTTTGCAAAGAGGTAGTAGTTAGTAGCGCAGCAAAGTGTCGTTTAATGGTCGAAAATTCATTCGAGTTAATAGGAGAATATATTGTGCGAAGAGGTCGTTATTAGAAGAATATATTTACGAAGAGGTCGCTATTAGGAGAATATATATGCGAAGAGGTATGTCAATAATGACGGTCGGTAAGTTACCATCGTAATTATCGACAACCACTTCGATAACCACTATACCGACTTTACCTCTTCGCAAATATGTTCTCCTAATAGCGACCTCTTCGCAAATATATTCTTCTAATAACTACCTCTTTACAAAATATATTCTCCTATTAATTCAGACGATTTTTCGAGTCCATATAAGCAAGAATCGAGTCCATATAAGCAAAAGATCCATATAAGCAAGAAATATAATCTGTTTTAAATTAAATAATGCTAAATGATTTTTACAAATTAAGTAATGATACTTTTAAATAAAAAATTTACAACTTTAAAGTAAAAATGACATTGAATATTTGTATCTATCAATTAATTTTACATTTTTATCTAATTATAACTTTATACATTGACAAAAACATTTAGGTATCATAAAGAAACAAATATGTTGCACACATTATGGAGCAAACAAATTTAATCATTGTAATTAACACTAATTAATATCGTATAGGATATATATACGTATATATTATATTTTCTCTTGCACAAATATTAACACAAAAGGACTTATAGAAACTAATATAGAAGAATATATAATACGTAAGCATTTTATTATGAAATATATATATATATATATATACATCAATTCTTTATATAAAATAATATAAATTATATTATTAAGCTTAATTTTTATTCTCTTTTAACTTTAATTATTATTTTTCTTAGAATTCCTATTTGTATGTAGTTATATTCCAACAAATTAATGATTAAAATATGATTATTGAACATCGTTTAACATAAACTATTATGTTAAAATACTGTCTTTAACATATACTATTATGTTAAAATATTTTTTATGTATTCTTATCTTGACTTGAAAATATTTGATATTTTTATTTGTACATTGCGTTATAACTTGACATATGTAGACACTAATGATTTAACAGAAAATATAATTTACATTTTCTGCGCATTAATGTTTTTTGTAATAATTACATATACACATATACAAATATTATTATACACATTATACTTTAAGAATCATAGCTCAATATACAATATTATATTTTTATACAGCTCTGTGCCACCAGATAATCTAGTCGCAAAGCTATTCAGTAACGATTGTCAAACTTATAGCTTAGAAATATGCAATGTGCTTAAGACAAATTATTATACATAGTCTAGAGTGTGTATAATTGTAAAATTAAGTCGCAGACTGTTTGTAATTCTTTGTGTTCATTAGTTTTTTGCCACACATGGCACAGATAGCCTTCTTGTATGCGCAGGACTGACAATAGTGGGATCCGACTTGATGCACCTTTTGCCTGCATATTCTGCATATCTCGAATTTCGTGGTGTATGGATTGAATCGCGCCTTTCCAGCAGACAGAGCCTTGTTCTCCCCTACCTGACGACCTCCGCTTTCCACGGTGTTCCTGGCGCCCGTCTTCCAAGGATCCGGTGTGATAACCTTCCCCAGTTTCTTCTCGCACTTTTCGCAAACCATTGCAAGATCGGATTTCCTTGCAGAAGAAAAGCCACAAGTATCTGTTCGAAAATAATTGACGAAGAATTAATTATTTTTACGCAAAGACGCAATTAAATATAATTTTAATTATTATACACACATACATTTTTGTATGTTTAATCGCTTTCCACAGAATTTTTTTTATTCATATGCATAGCCATACATTATACACTGTCACAAATTTGTAATAATGAATTGTTTCGCAGTATTGAAACTCTCTTCAAATCAACTGTTATTTCACTCGTCATAAACATAAACACAAGTGAAAAATTGAGTTCTAGATGAACCTCGCATTCCTCGTGATTTGGCGCGTTCGAAAACTCATCAAAGATGGGTGTTGCAACCTTTGTCCACAATTGTATAGAATTTGAATTTACGTGTTTTTTAATAAATAAATAAATACATATATCATTTATTTTCAGATTCGAGAAAAAAAAACAAAATCGAAATATATATATTCAATTTTTAACTTTACAATAAAAAACATTAAATTTTTGATAAGTCTAAATATCTTGTCTACGCAGTAAAACTAAAATATATATAAAATATATATTTAAAATATATTTAATATATTTATAATAAAATTTACAAATTATTTATATAAATCTATTTATATTAAAAATCTCTTTATCTATATTTTATTTATAATTAAATTAATTTAAATTTTCTATTAAAAATTCAAGTATTATTTTAATATTGATTAAGAGATATCTAATAAATATTATTCATTTAGCTATTATAATTTATATAAAAATATTTAATTAATATATAAAAAATTGATAAAGTTAAATATCAAATTAATTTCAAAGTTTGAAACTGTTTAAAAACTGTTTAGAAAATGAAGAGATATATAATGCATATATATCATCATGTATATATAAAAGATACATTAAATTAAATCTCATTAAAAGTAATTACATCTATAATTTGCATACTTATTATTAGTCAATATGATTAGTCAATATAATGATCGATACATAGTCATTTCTAGATTTCTTTTTAATGTTTTCTGATTCCAATATTAATAGATAGTCAGGAGGAACAAATAGATTTTGACTGATTTAAAGTAAAATTGTGGCAAATCTCCATCAACTCTTTGATGTCATACTGTTCCATGTAACTGAATCCCTCTAACGAAGGCGAATGCTTAAGCACACAATCCAAACAATGCGGTGCATAGTTTTTTCTTTGCTCGTTGATAAGCAAAATGTGAGATAGCTCAATCTACAACAGTAAACATTTATTTATAAAAAAATATTTAATAAAGAAAAAAAAATAAGTAGAAGTATGCTAATATATATATCTTATATATAACATAGTTTTTAAAATAAAATTATATATCAAATAGAAAATAATTATAGCAAAAATAAAGTATTTATAAGATAATATTTAATGATCTGTTTAAATGTTGTCTTTGATAAACATAATTAATCAAGTAAAGAAAAGAAGCAATTGGAAATAGTAGCAAAATAAAATGTCTCAAAAACACGTGATGAAAATATATGTTGCAATAAAATTTGATTCATCAAAAAGATAAAAATATTTCGTCAATTTACTTGCATACAACAAATATAATATAGAATTCTATTTATCAATTTTTATTATTATGTAACTATTATACAATTTTGAGTTTAAAATTGTCTCTTAAATTAAAAAAGAAAGAAATTTTTCTGTAGCCAATTTCAAAATTATTTTGGGACATAGAATATATGCAAAGAAAAAAATAGGACTCTTCATTATAAAATGTTAATAATTTCTACAAAATATTTATCAATATCAATATTATTAAAAATGTAATGAAAGAAACACACCCCACATTTGCAGCAATAATGCACCTTCTCTTCCCAACTACGTTTAGAGGGTTTCATGCTCTTGTTCTTGACAAACTTCAGTATCACGTTATAATGTTTCAATAACTGCTGAATGTTTTCTTTAATCAGCCGATACAATTCTGGGTCCGATATCTTGGTGTTGCGCGCCAGGTTCCATGACAAATGGTTCATTGGCACAATTGATTGAAATGACTGTAGCTTGTACCACTCATAACTCTGGATTGCGAGTTTGTATTGTTTGGCAGTGAACGGTGCAACGTTCCATGCAATATTGGTGCAATAGCCGCCCGCCTGCACCCAATGTACACAACCAGCATTCACCCATATCACATCACCTTGTCTCTGAATGCATCTATGTATCGGGATATTCGCCTTGTATAATTCATCCACATGTGATGGCCACCAACTGTCAATCAGAAAGTTGACGCCGTTACGCTGACAAAGCGAGAATAATTTATCCCAATATTCGTGTGGTACTACGAACCATTCGCAGTTACCTGGTCCCAAGTTAATATTAACCAAGGATAAATTGTTGTTCTCTTGATGAGCAGTTATTCTGCTTCCGGGTACCTGAAGACAAATATAAAAGCTAAGTTACGCAGGTGAGAATAATATATTTTCACATACATCTAGAATAATATCTTCATATGTATTATATTATTTTAATTAACAAATTTTCATTACATCAAAATTTCAATTTTATTACCTTTATGTATAATTGTGCAGTGTTTATACCCAAAATATTGTGACCTATATAACTAAGCATATTCTTATTTGAATCCACTTGCAAGAAAGATGGCAGTTTTTTCAGTTCCTGTAGTTGCCGTTTCCATTTTGTCAAATTTGATAAATCTAGATTAGTGGCAAAATGTATTCTACCCTTTTTAGGGTTCTCTACAATGTGAATGGCCTTTTGCAAATTTTTTTCTTCTGGATTGTTCTCCATATATGTCTTTGCTTCCTTTGCGGATTCATTGTATTTTTCGCTGTAATACTTGTTAAACTTTTCGATCGTCATATAATGTCGATGACTATAACAATTCCAAATGTTTTTGCTGTACGTTATATCCCAGTTTTCCTTACTAATTTGCTGTATCTGCGTGCGCATTTCCAGTCTTTTCGAATATTTTGCGGCTATACTATTAGGATAGAAAATCTCGTTATTAAAATTAATAAGTTCAGTCAAATTATGTATCACAACAACTGGATTATCCAAACACACTTCCTCCAGCCATGGTTCGAATGCCTCATTTCTATGAGTTAAACGAACAAAAGGAGAAGAGGGAAATAATTGTTCCCTCATCAATGGTTGCCTGGATATAAGTGGAGGTGTTTCGACACAAGCCTGATGCTTAAAGCTTGTTAACAAATGTTTTTTCAACAAGTTTTCATTCAATCCTTCTTCTTTTTCAAACACATGAAAGTTTTTGAAGTTTTCTTGTTTGTCCATTTTGTCTATGAATAAATAGAAAGAAAAATTATTAGAATTAAACCTTTTTTTGTTGTAAAACAAGAGACAATACAATTGTAATCAATTGTAATAAATTAATCTCTTACATTATATATGTTACACAAATTGTGACTGATCTGATGTTACTGAATCTGTTTGAAAATAAAATCAAAAAGCAAGGTGACAGAAAAAAGTACAGATACAAAAACAAAAAAAAATAATGTAAACTTTTCTCTTATTTTAGCTATTTATACAGATTATAATTAGTGTGTTCCTTGTCTGCAGTAGGCAATAACATTACTCGTTCGACCAAAAACTTTTCTCTTATTATTGTGAAGCAATTAAAAATTGTTTGTCAATTTTAGATTGAGAATGCAAAATTAATTACAAATAGAAAAATTGAACCACTATTGAACGTAATATTAAAGTATATAACAAACAAATGTGATCAAATATTTATTAATAATTAATCAGAAATTTAAAGGCATATAGTATATATATTCTCTGTATGAATTTATTTTGTAGTTTCATTAAATATTTAACGGTGGCAATATAATTATTACTCGTTTCTTATTTCCACATTATATCAGAGTCGCAAATAGTTTACGTTTTTTATTATTATATTTTGATTTTCTATACTGTTGTTAATTACTTTTAAATTGCTTTTTATTTATTTAATATTCTACATATACACAATAATGAATTAATTCCTCCACACTACTAAAAATATTTTCAATTCATCGTTTTACACAATCTAAGAGAATCATTAAGAATCGAGATCGTTTTCGCAAGTTCTTGTAATATTAGCATAATCACAAAGTTTTTTTTTTTTTAAGGGGATGCTGACCACGTGTTTTACCAACTTTGAGTTCAAGAGCTTTTCTTTTTATTGGTTACATAAATTGAAAAATCCTTCTCCACAACTAAAGTACTAATAATAATAAAGGGGGAGCGCTGTAATTTCGTATAAAAAAATAATAAAAATTAAAAAATTACAGTTTTTTTATCGACCTCTTGCATCAGCTCATAACAATACTTAATTAATACAAAAGTTCTGCAGTTTATTTGAGCACAAAATATGGCGTCCCCAATAGAAATGACATGAAAGAATATATAATACAGAAGGAATAAAAATGAGACCAAAAGATTCGTACTTGAATTAATTGTGTATATATACTTGCGTGCGGAATCGATGTCGAGACATAAAGCAGCAAAAATTAGTTACCAAACAGTGCTCCTCATCACAGACTTTTAATAAAAATCTGTTCCTCATCCATTATTATCAGTACTTTCATTGTGGAGAATTTTTCAACCTGTATATTCAAGATAAAGTGAACCTACCCTAACTTAAAGTCGGTAAAACAGAACTACGGCAGCATCCCCTTACAGAAAATATTACAATCTTTGCCGATTATCGTAAATAGTCATAAAATGTCTGATATCCAAGAGAAGTTAAATTCAATTTAGAAAAAAATTTAGAAAATTCAACTCTAATATCACATCTTATTTATTTTCAGATTTAAATCAAGAATAGGAAACAAAATTCAAAAATTAAATTTAAAATCAAAAATTTTGTGATAAAGAATACTTTAGCTGTTAATGCATATTGTAGCATTCCCATAAAATTCAAATTTACATGCCATGTCAGTAATATTTTGCTGATTTATGCACGCAACATTAGTTATTAAACAATTTCAAAGTAAATATTATTCCTATCCTTAAAATATAATTTTATAATAATTTAAATTTTTATAATTTTCTTACAAAATGAAATTAAAAATTATTTTTTATAGTTTAAGTAATCTTTAATTAATGTTTCTTTAGTTCACAAGAATGGGTGCGAGTCAATAATGGTTGATGATTCATTTGATAATCATTTCTGATATCTTCAATTAACATAACTGGAAATTATCATAAACGTTCTTCAAGTCATTTATGTCATTTTGATCCATATAGGTAAATCCTTCTAATAAAGGAGAAAGTTCAAGTGCACAATCCAAACAATATGGCACAGGACTTTTTTTGTCATAGCGAATTAATGAAATTCCAAATATCTCGATCTGCAAAAATAAATAAATTTAATAACATTTAATAATAACTATAAGTTAAATAAAGAAAAACATATCTAAGTAGAAATACACCATTATCTTATAATAACATAATTTCTACAATAAAATTATATATTAAGTAGAAAATAATTGTAGCAAAAATCAAACAATTATAGATAACATTTAATAATTAACATTTAATAATTTTTAAAGCCACAATCTCCACTTGATTCCTCTCGACCAATAGAGCCAAACGCGATGTTATTGCGACAATTATGAAGGAAAGAACATTTTGGAAAGGAATTTGAATCCTATGGTTGGGATCTCAGAAATTCCCCCTGTTCCTTCTCTTAACATCCCCTGTAAAGAAATAGGCGAGAAAATTCCTTTCCAAAATGTTCTTTCCTTCATAATTGTCGCAATAACATCGCGTTTGGCTCTATTGGTCGAGAGGAATCAAGTGGAGATTGTGGCTTTAAAAATTAAAAGAGCTGACTAAATAAGTATTCGCATTATTTAATAATTTGTTTAGATGTGTGTATATATTAGCATATCTTTGAGAAAAGACTATAGTAATCAATAATCAAATAAAGAAATTTGGCAAAATAAAATGTGGAAACATATAATAAAAATTTGGTCTCTCTTTCTTCTTCTGTGCGATAAAACTTTTTATGTAGAAAGATAAAAATATTTTATCTTTCTTTATATATAGTCTTCTTTTTTTATCAGTAATTTTCAAGATTGCAAAATTTATAGAGAGAAAAAAATATGGAACTCTTTTCATTGTAGCGCTATTAATTTCTACAGAATATAATATTTAATCAAAATTATTAAAAATATAAAAAAAGAAACACACCGTGCATTTTTCGCAATAGATTACGTTTTTCGTCTTATTTGTTACAAAGTTCTCCATTTCAACATCCATGTTTTTCACAAACTCCAAAGTTAAACAATATTGTCCCAACGTCAGTAACATGCAGTTTTTGATCAACTTGTACAGCTGCGCATCTAACACCTTGACATTGCGCGCCAGGTTCCAAGATAGATGTACCATCGGTACGATCGATTGAAATTTGTGTAACTTGTTCCACTCGTAACGTTCGATCGCACCTTGATACTGCTCGACAGTAAACGGTCCGACGTTCCACGCAATGTTGTTACAAAAGCCTATTGACTGTACCCAGTGCACGCAACCTACATTCACCCAGACCAGATCACCTGGTTTCTGGTAGAATCTATACACTGGGATATTTTCATCAAATAAATCTTTCAAACTTGGTGGCCACCAACTATCCTTTAGATAATCGATGTTGTTTCGCTGGCAGAGTGAACATATTGCGTCCCAGTATTCATATGATACTGCAAACCATTCACAGTCGTTCGGTCCAATGTTGATATTCACTGAACAGAAATTGTTGTTCTCTTGGTGACCAGGTGTTCTGCAACCAGGTACCTGAAAATAATTGTAAAAGTTAAATACAGGAGATGCTCTATAGATGCATTATATATATTTAATTCAACATTTTTATTATATCAAAATTTCAATAACCTTCATGTATAATTGCACAGTGTTCATTCCGTAGATGTTGTGATCTACGTAATTGAGCATATTAACATCCGATTCCACCCGAAATAAGGGTGGCAGTTTCTTTAACTCTTGTAATTGCGGTTTCCAGTCTTTCATGTTTGATAAATCCACGTTGGTGCCGAAACGTAATTTTTCCTTGTTCCTGCGTCCAATCATCCTTCTCGAGTTCAAGTTTAACTGATTGAAAGTCATTTCGTTATTATTCGACATCTCTGTTCCTTCTTTTATGCTCTCATCGAGTTTCGTGACTTGATAAGTCGAATACTCGCGGATCGTCGAGAGGGTTCGATGACTATAGCAATTCCAGACCTTCTTACTATATGTTTGATCCCAGTTTTCCTCACTAGGTTGATGCATCTGTATACGTACCTCGATGCTGTTATTCGGTTTTGTATCAAGTATAGTCGGAGTTGAGAAAAGACTCAAGTCAAGATTGAGAATTTCGACAAGGCCGTTTATCACAACAATCGGTTTCTCCAGACAAAACTCTTGCAAGGATGGATCAAATGCTTCATTTTTACTTTTTAAGTATATAAAGAACGTACACGGCGACAGTTGTGCCTGTGTCAATTGTGGTCTAGGCAAATTCGGCAGTGTCCGGTGACAAATGTTCAATAACTTGGATTGTGGCGGGCTACTCAGACTCGACTTCTTCTTGCACATCTTTATAATTGTCCCAGCATTGTCTTCGATGGTCAACGTCGGTTCGGGTAATTGTCTGTAAATAAAGAAGAGTTATAAAATAAATATATAAGAAATAGACTTTTTTCACTACAAAATTAAAAAATCGAAACACTAACAGCCACTCAATGGTATTCATTATTATACGTTACACAAATAAATTGTTTATTCGGATTATTGTTAATAATTTAATACTGGATCGGTTTTAAGATAAAATTAAGGCACAAGGTGATAGAAAGAGAAACAATGAGTAGAAAGAACATAGGATAAACAATACTTTTCCCTTATTGGCTCGAATATAGAAATAATGTTTTGATAAATAATCCGTGTGTTTCTTTTTGCTTAGTAATACTGCTCGTCTGACGAAAACATTTCCTCTTATTGTTATGAAGTAAATGTTTGAAATGTTTTTTTCGTAATATATATATATATATATGTATATCGAAATGTAGCTATAAAAATGTTTTTATATTCATAATTTTCACTTTCTAATAAAAAAAAAAATACAATTAGCAAAATTCATTATGTTCTCTCTATCAGAATTTTTCAGAATAAAAAAAAAATTATCTTCATATTCTCATTTCGAATAAATGTAGAAGATTAAACGCTTAAATGTACAGCAGGATACCATTCAATACATCAATTGTAAGCTATTTATTAAATCTGCAATACTGTATAAAATATTGTATCATTATTACAATAACGCTTAATAGCATGTTTTTTACTCAATTTGGAAATTATTTTTCTTTTACAAAAATGTCGTGGCACCAATAGTAATTTTTATAAATAAAGTTAAAAACAACTCATTTTATATGCTATTTTTTGCTCATTTTATTTATGATTAAAAGAATAAAACATTTTCTTTACAAGATGTTTAGAAAATTGTACAGAAAGATAAAATTTTATGTAAAAATTTTGATAAGAAATTATTTTAAAAAAAATACAATTTCTAATCATGGTGCAATGCAAATAAAAATACCATGTTTCTTTCTTTCAAGAAAACTATATCCATATAATGTAAATAAATTTTTTTTCAGGTTTTTATTCAGAGAAATGCAATATAAAAGCGCCAAATTGAATCTTTATATTAATTACGGACATATATTTCTAGAAAATAATAATATAAAATTTATTTCATGCAGTAGAATGTAATACATTAATGTATTGCAATTTTTACAACTTACCAGCTTTTCTTTGAATATGTTAATACTATTGTATGCTGCATGCTAGGTTCCTCAATAAATTTTAATACTCATTATTTTACTTGTAACAAACGATATTACAAGCTTGCCAAGTTATGAACAAATTAAAGTTGTTACGATATCCAATAGCCCATATCTTGCAGTTAATGTTTATCCATAATACTAGGTCACCTGGTAGCTGAATAAAATTATACCCTGTTTTTTTCTCCATTCTTTTTCAAATCGAGCAGCCATCAACTGCCACATATCGACGTCTTTATATTTGCAAGTTATTGCATATATTACATCTAAGTATAAACCATTGCAATTGTTCCATCTGATACTGATGTTAATAAAATGAAAATTATTATTCCCTTTGTGGTAGATTGTTCTGTAGCCATGTATCTAAAGATGAAATTAAAATAAATTAAATAATTTGAATTGCATGTATAAAAAAATATATATTTTCTTTAAATATAAGATTTTTAATACCTTTTCATATAACTGTGTGATATTCATCCTTAAAATCTTGTGGTCCATGTGGCTGAGCATACTGTATGAAGGTTGAAAGATCAACACAAAGTGGATGATGTTGCAGGAGCAGTTTAAAAAATATCTTTTGTTGCTATCCTCAACATGTATACATACATGTGCTTTTGCATATATATATTTAAAACACCAATATCTGTGTAGCTTTGTTGACTCTCTGGCTGGGTAATAAATATAATCAATTAATTATATAAAATCATCAATATTAGTAAATAATAAATTAAATGAGTTAAAAATAAGGTGAAATAAATAGTTTTTAAATAATTAAAAGAAGATCAAATAATTAATTTTATAAATGAAAAATGTAATGACTTGTATTATCGATTAAATCGCCATATATTTATAAGTTATTAATCTCGATATATATTTATCATACAATATCTTTCCTTTTTTTATTTTTAAAGATACTATGATATATGAAGCAATGGTACTTTCCTATTTTGAGTCTCATCTGAATCACAATAAAATGACAGCGCATTATACTTTATAGGCAAATTATTTTTTTAATACGATTTGAATAAAATATATATTTGATATCGCGTTTGAAATTTTTCGCCAATTAAAATATATTTTGCTCGTTATTTTTAGATTGAGAGTGCAATATATGTATATATATGTATACATACAATTTGTAGAATTGAGTGAATTAAAGTAACCAAAAGATACATATGATGAATCAATAGATTATTTTTTAATCATTAAAATAATAAATTGAAAAGTATCTGATATAAATACAACATTATAAATAGAAGGGAGTAATAAGAGTCGGTCGCAGTTATTAGGATGCAAAATTGTTTTTAAATTCTTTAGTTATTTTGTTTTTAAAATAATTTAAAATTAAAATCCTTTCATATCTAATTTTAATTTAATAATTAATTCGAAATTTAATATAAAATTAAGGATCAGAGATTCTGTAGTTTATTGAATATTTCGCGACAAATAAAATGACTATCACTATTTATGTTCAGCGATTATTATGTGCATATATGTTTTTAGACCTCGGCGCAATTGTTTACATCGGACATAAACACCGAATTAATATCCTCCCACTACGACTTAACATGCTGCGCGCGAATCTGGCTTATCTGTCATCTGTCACCTGTCATTCGTGCGAAGAGGCTCGACCGGGAAGATCGCGGCATAAATTGTTCAGTGTGTATATGCTACTTATTTAACAAACGCGATCATGTTTTCACATTTATTAGAATTAGCGCTTATCGATTCGCACGATTAATTAATTCGTACGACATATTAGAATATCGCGGTGATGCGCAATAATAAAATTCCTCGAAAACATGTGATATTTGTTGACAATCGACGAGTGATTCCAGCGATTTTTATACTTGTATTAGTTGTTTTTTGTATGTCTAATATAGTAGAATGTGCGATTAATGTCGATGTGCGTAGTATCTCGTAATTATCGCATTTTGCAAAATTATTAGTGCGCGCACGCTAATTAATCGTATGTTCGTAATGTGAGCGTTATGTTTACCATGAAGTGGCTAAGAACAAACAAGAGAGAAGGAAAAGATCCGGGATGATATCGAGTGACGACGTACTGAAGTGAGTAATTTATAAATTAATTTTTTATTTGTTATTGGTAAAATTTTAATAGATTATCTTTGCAAAAATAATTTATGTTGCAATTTTTTATTGCTATAATATTGAATTGTTTGCGAAATGAGTTTTAAAAATACTTGAAAAAATACTGTTACATCTATATCAGAAGTAAATTAATGCGATGTTATTGTTGCTCGTTTTCGATTTTGATATTAAAAATTATTGGCACATTTCAGAACTGAATTTTGCTTCGTTCAATTTTATACTTGTTTTAATGAAAATTATTATGACAAATATTAAAAATTGAAGGAATTACGCAGCCCTAAATTAATACACCGTTTTTTAACTAACCTCCAAAAATCAGTGGAAACTCAAATCATTTTAATTCTCGATTTAATAAATCCTTATCCACGTTTAATATCAGTCACAAATATTGCGTGACACTTTTTTGAAATAAAATTCTAATGAATTATACAGATTCTTTAAATAAATTCGAATAAATCACTGTACAAAAAATCATTGTACACGCAATTATTCGCCGGGAAAATATTTATCGGCAAAATCCATAGACATAGAAATTAATATAGACTGGCTTCTACCTAGGTTAGATTTGATTTAGCGCTATAAGTGATGATCTTTGTCCTGATTGGTCAATCAAACGCTTCCGGTACTTTACCACCAATCAAATGCAACTTCGATGGAAGCTATCTATCTATATATTTACTATGCTTATGGATTTCGTTGCCATGGATATCAAATAATTTTATCGGCGAGTAACGAGTAATTACGCGCACAGTTGCGTCTTTTTTGACGAAGATCTATTAAAAAATGATTTAGTCATTAATTCGCGTTACAATATCGCATAATAAAAGTGTTGTGGAAAATGTGGACTTGATATTAAGTGTGGATAAGAATTTTGAATGAAGAAAAATGATCGAATTCTCGAGCGACCGGGTTGATCTTCAGGTGTGTTATATTTAAACTTCTCTACTAAGTATAACTTTGTTTTAATATCTAATATTCGTCGTAACTTGTTATTAAAATAAATGTATAAGTACCAAAAATCGAATCCTGCTCTGAAATATATTATTACATGTTATTTTTAACAAATATTTCACAAAATAAATCGAACTTGTGCTAGAAAGAGAGAGGGATAGAGAAAATAAATAAAACTATCTAGAAAATGTAAATCTAATATTAAAACATTATCGAAATTTGCTTCGAAATTTCATTGCATATTTTATTGTTTAATAAGTTAATATTATATATATATTATTTTGTTCAAGAATAAATATATATAGTCTCACATCGCGCAAGTTCAATATATATATATATATATATTGAAAAAATTATTATTTATTAAGAATTAATTAAGAATAAATTATTGAATTTATATATATATATATATATATATATATATATATATATATATGTGAAAACCGAAAAATGTATGTATAAATCTAATATTAAATCGGAATCGATATAAATTTTAATGACTGTGCAGAAGAAAAAGCGGTATCCTGAATGCATGCATTAGATCGCAATCTCCCCCTTTCGTTGCTGCACTTTTAAAATTCCACGCCGAGAAATCGAAACGCGCGGTACGGAGCGCCTCCCTCGCTCGCGGCGGCGGGCGAGAGAACTAACTTGCCGCGTGGTGGGAGGAGAGACTCCCGCCTGGCGGCGCGGCGGTAGTCGTCGACGAATAGGGGTGGCGCGCGGAGGCGAGCGCCATCTGGGGCCGTTCAGTACCCGGCCACCCTCGGTACACCCCGTGGTGCGACTCGCGCTCGCGGCTTCCGGATTATTCGCGGCTAGTTTTGCGAGACCCGAGGATTGGGACACACACGATATAGTGCACCCCGTGCCTTAATATACAGTGACCAGTGTATGCCTTGAACGCGACGCGACAAAAAAGGTAATTATCACCAACGACAGCTATACTCTTCTCTGTCCCTCTCTCTCTCTCTCCCTCTCTCTTACTTTCGAGAACGGCTCCCGAGGCACGAAGTTAAGGGATGCAAACGGGATATGAATGGTGGTAGACGGAAACGGCGTATGACGAGAAGGTGGAAAGCGAAAGAGGTGGTGGCCGTCGACGTTTCGTAAGGATATACTCGCTCTCCTCGAGGAGACGAGACTCACGCGAGAGTCCGCGAATCGATCCGTTCCCGTCTAACCCGCCGCCCCGATATACCCGATATCGCGAAAAGCCACGAAAAGTGCAACCGAGGACTCTTTACGCGTGAGTCCCCCCATATATACATATATATATAGATATATATTTTCGGAGCAGCAATATCGTCGTTCCCCTTTCTCCCACTCCTCCCCCACGTTCCTTTCACCCCTTTCCACGTCACGTATATAACTTCGCCCTTCGAATGGGGTATCCTCGGAAGGGGTTCGCTCTTCGAGGGTTCGCCGTTCAGCGACGTGTTCAGTCATCGCGTTTGAAAAAAAACGTGGGCAGCCTCGTCGACGACGACGACGCTCGGCCCCGTCGAGTCTGCCTCCCGCGCGCGATTGATCGTCGCGAGGGGGGCCGGGAGGGGGCAGGGGAGACGTCACCCCCTTGGCGCGGCGAGGGACTCACGAGGGATGCGCGTCATCGCGCCTTATCGAGAGAGGGAGAGAGAGAGAGAGAGAAAGTTACGGTCTGACGTGTATAACGCGCGTGTGGGTCTGGCGAATAATGTACTCGTAGTTAGGTGAGTGCGTGTTTGGAGAACGATGACGATGAGTATATTATTCGAACTCTGGTACGTGAGCGTTTTCGACGACGTCGCACGACGGAAATGAAACGCCTGGTGGTTTCTCCCGGTGCATGCGCCCTGTCGTCGGGATTCTGCACGAATGCGTCACAGGAGAAACCGAACGAGTTTGAATCTCTTTCTCGTCTCGAAATTCGATCGCGTCTTGATTCACTCCGGGAGCCCCCGTGTGTTTTCCGAGAGGTAATTTAGGTGACTTGAGGGTCCTGAGGCAATCGGAGATTTTTTTTTTTTTTTTTTTTTTTTTTTAGAATGCAATCGGAGTAATTTTTTTTATTTCACAAGCAATATGTTCATGTTTTTCCCCCGAGGAAAGTAATTTTTCTATACGGATTTGATCGACGTGAGATTCATTCTTTCGTCTGGCAATTAAATATTTATTTCAATACTGCTTAATTATTTGCTTGAAACAAATAAATATTTATCTGTTTTGAAAAAGATTTTCTTATTAGTTTCAAATGAATGATTTATTAGACAGTATGGAAATAAATAATTTTTGAATTCAATAATTTTTTTTCAGTGCGCTAATAAGAGAGTGGACTTGACAGAATTCCTTAAGAAATTATGAATTGAAATATCTTCTTGAAAAGAAAGAAAATGCTTTTTTTTACTCTCTCATACACTGAAAAAAAATTATTAAATAATATATAATTATTTTAATACTGCCTAATAAATCATTTACTTGAAATAAATAAATATTTATCTGTTTTGAAAAGGATTTTCTTCTATGAAATATTTTTTCACAACCAACCAATATTATTAGTTTCAAATAAATGATTTATTAGGTAATATAGAAATAAATACTTATTCGAATTCAATAAATTTGTTTTTTAGTGTGCTAACAAGAGAGTGGAGTTGACAGAACTCCTTCAAAAATTACGAATTCAAATAACTTCAAAAAGAAAGAAAATGCTTTTTATAATTCATACACTGAAAAAAATTACTAAATTAATAAATAATTATTTCAATACTTAATAAATTATTTACTTGAAACATATAAAAATGTATATGTTTTGAAAAGAATTTTTTTATATCCAATAAGTTTCGCGTCAAATCAATATATTAATAAATAAAAAAAAAAGATTTATTAGGCAATATTTTTTTCAGTGTAGGAAATGAGACTTCGTTCGCGTATATACACAATATCGAAGTTAGGAACTAGCAACGAAATGAGTCAAGTATGGCAGGCTATTTTGTTGTAGCTTTCGAGAAAATGATAAGAGAGAAAGAGAGTAATAGGCGAATAATTTGTCGCTCGGTTTCATCCGCCCCTTTTGCTATTTGCCAAAGTAAATCGAGCGTCACGTCGCGAATACGAAACGTCAAGAAGCGAATTACTCGTTTATTTCCTTCGAGAAGCATAATGGAATGAAAAGGATAAGTGAGTAACCGTCTCGTTGTTTGATCCGCCTGTCTAGTAAAACCTCATATATCACGATTTCGTGTCGTATCTTTTTTTTTTTTTTTTTTTTTTTTTTTTATACGATAAAGTCGGTAAATTAATTTGACTAACGCAATGCCTTGCTATATATCTCATTGAAAAGTTAATACGAAAACTAAGTAAGTAAGGAACTTGTCGCTTGTCTTGTGCCCTTCTTTCCCTCTCTCCCAGACTTTTTAATCCTCCCTCTTCTGGTTAATCCGATATTACAACTTTGCGGGGGCCGTATAGAACTAATATACGAAGCTAATATAGAGAACGCGATTCAAGGAGCGCGCCATTACTCGTTTATCTTCTCCTTTATCGAGCAAGATAAGCAAATTATTCGCTGTTTGACTTATCATCCTCTATATACCGTGCCTATATAAACCATACTCCACGTTACGTTGAATCTGCATGGGGAAACAGAAGTCAAGAGTGCGCGGTCGCGCTATCCGTTTACCTTTTCTACTGCTAATCTTCCTCGAACGAGATTGGCAAAAGTCGCTTACTCGACTTATTTCGCGTAATAAAAAAAGAACCCGTCGAAGAGGGGCCGAAAGTCGACGTTATATATTCCCTCGATTTTCTCCACCGTGGCTTTTTTTTCCACCTCGAATAAGAGGAAAGATACGTCGCGCCTATTCGATTTCTTACCACTAGCTTTTCTCCGTTTCCGACTTAATCGCGGATTTCCCGAGACGTAGACGATCGTCCTTCGGTGCGAATGCAAATACATGCACGGAGATAGAGATATTGCATACGTACGTACAAGTATACGCACATGCAAGCGCATATACGTGCATACACAC